TATGAATATAAAGAGTTTATTTGAATCAGCTAAATGCAGTCAACTGTGAGAGCTTCTGATTTATTTTTACCAACAGAGAAATTAAAATTCTCTAACAGAGTCTGAATTGTCAAGCCACATGTGTGAGAAAGCCAATGGTGTGTGTGATGGAGAGATGTGCTTGGTTCTACCTTTATATAGGGAATCTTGTGCATGATTATAAAGGAAAACCATGCCCAAAGAAAGCAAGAGCTTTTCAATCATTCTAGATGTCCAGACGTGGATCCATGGATTTTTGTCACAGGAAAGCAGATTCCAAATTAATGTTGGGAAGAATTTTTTTTAAAGAGTGAGAGCTGCTTGACAGTGAAAGCAATTATCTGCATCCCATTCTGTTTCTGGGGAGGCTATACAACCATCTGTCATGGATGCTTCCTTTTTTTATTCCTGCTTTATGATTCTATGTGCAATTATGGTTTGGGTTGGTTTTTGTGTATGTGTGTGCAATTATGGTTTATGTGCAATTACACTGTTCCATTTGGGAAAAGAAGCAATATTCAGTTCAAAATTAACAGGGCCTAGAATAGGATCATGCCTAAGGCTTTATTTTTTATATTTATTTTCCCAAATTCCATTTAATTAAAGATAGTTCTACAAAAAGTGAGAAAGATGTCAAGAGAGAGAGAGAGAGAGAGAGAGAGAGAGAGAGAGAGAGAGAGAGAGAGAGAGAGAGAGAGAGAGAGAGAGAGAGAGAGAGAGAGAGAGAGAGAGAGAGATGTTTTGTACAGGGACCAAGATGGTTCATGAAATGGAACTGCCTTCTTTGAAACTGTAGTGTTGTGTAGTTAGGACCATAATTGTATTCTTGCGCAACCATGCTTGCAAAACACAACATCCAAAAGTCTTTTTATTGGCCATGGTAGCCCTGGGTATCTCAGGAACTCCTTCTCCAGCTGACTCTTTCCCTTTTCTTCTCCAACCTTCCTTGAGTGAGAAATAATATAGGCATATATTCTCTATCCATGGTTGACCTAATCTGGCCACGTCCTCTTTCTCTTATTTGTGTAATTTGTGAGGAAGGAGTTCACAAACATGCACCCACCCACCATTTAATTTGGGGAGAGTACCTTTGGGTGCAGAACCACTCATTCATTCATGATGGGGTAGGGATCCCCTTGGAACCGTTTATACCTCCTAGGAATGATCTGGTCATCTACAACGTTTTGTGGAGACATGAGCAAAATTTCATGGCTGTTTCACTTAATCGAGTGGCAGAAATGAGTCTATTTCCTGAGTCTCTTTAAAGAAGAGTTGTTGTTGTTGGGGTTTTTTGCAGAAGAAGGAGCCAGTATGTACGTAGGTCAACAAGATGTGGGTCCCCTGACTGTGGCTAAAATACAGCTCACACCAGTTCAAGCGCACAACGAGGGGATTATAGTTTACTGTTTTGTATGCAGACATAAAAATGAGGGGTCCTTGGTGCTCGTTGAGTTTGCTTGTTTTCTTGCAAACATTTCATTACCAAAATAGGTCACATCATCAGTGCTAGTAGGGAGTGGGGTTTGCTCTTAATTTATGTTCTAATAGCTTGCCCTGTCAGTATTGGTGGGAATACTCTTAGAGGTTCTTTAATTGGGTTGTTTACTGTTAGCTTGTCTGGGAGTTCCTTGATTGGGATATTGTTTAATCAAAAGTAGAGTTGGAAGGGACTTTGGAGGTCTTCTAGTCCAACCCCCTGCTCAAGCAAGAGACCCTATACTATTCCAGACAAGTGGCAGTCCAGTCTCTTCTTTAAATTCTCCAGTGATGAAGCACTCACAACTTCTGAAGGCAACTTCTGTTCCAATGGCTAATTGTTTTCACTGTTAGGAAGTGTCTTCTTAATTCCAGGTTGCTTCTTTTTAGAATAGAATAGAGCTAGAAGGGACCTTGGAGGACTTCTAGATTTTACTTCTGGATAATTAGTCTGATGTTAATTTTGATGTTAATCTATGCTCATCTGGGCATTGATGGCTGAAGTACATCTGGACACGTGAGCGTCAGACCCAATAATCACTTTATTGAGAAGGGTGGTCATCTAAATCATACATCGATGGTTGTTTGGTTTTATAGTAATCTCATTTGGGTTTAGGATTAGGATTTTCTCATCCTGGCATATTAGTGATGTCTAATGGTTCCATTTTTCTTTCCTTTTCAGTTCAGGGCTTAGACATTTTGTCAAACTATATGATTTCCACAGTGGACAATTTACAAGTGGACCTTGATAAAAATGAGGAGCCTTCCTCAAACAACAATATTGCTTTAGCAAAGAAGGACTTCAGGAACAGCGTCCCTTTCGTTATACATACTGATAGGATACATAGAAATTCGATGTTTCCCTTTGGCTATTCAAAAAGTGACTGCTGTATGGCCAAGAATTTCAAGGCTCACTCCGTGACTCAGGTATATACGATGAACGAAAATGTCCAGTCCTACATCACTCAGAAAGAGCTGGAGAGCAATGTTATATCTAGCTTGCCATCAGATCTCCTGAAAGATCCTTCAAAAAACTTTAAGGGACCAATGAGCTTTACAGAAAACAATCATAGGATCACCACAGAGGATGTGGACCCAGTGTGTAAGACTGCCCACCAAAATAAATCAGTGCTCGTGATGAATACTCAGTGTGATGCTGGCTATTATGAACCTCCTAAACATGTGGATGGGATTAGTTTGACCCAAGCAGCTCAAAGGGATTGTTGTGAATCTACTCTTGCTTCTGACCAATCAATGTTCACTGAGACACCAGTAGATCAATGTAGTGAAACTCTGTTGCGAGCCCAGAGGACATTTGACGTAATTCATAATTTCAACTCCTCAAACCCAACCACGGTTGTTGAAGAGCCCAAGTCACATCTGAAGGAGCCTAGCATGAAGAAGCATGAAGATGTCTTGATATCAGGGGTCATTAAGAGATCTTCATCAGTCATTTCAGACTCAGGAATTGAAAGCGAACCCAGTTCAGTCGCTTGGTCTGATGCAAAGAGCAAAGCCTTGGAGTTGGCCAGTGATCAAGAGATCCTTCACCAGCTAGTCAACCGGCACGCAATCCATCGGAATTCCCTAGAAGGCAGACGTACGGAAAGCAACACAAGTTTGCCTAATGGCATACAGGCCTCACTTACGTCTATTAGCTCCTTGCCTTATGAGGAAGACGAAAGGGAGGTGGAGCCCAGTAAATTGACAAAATCAATCTCTGCTCCTCAGATCAGCAGTCCTGAGGAATCCGTGGAAGTCATGGATATATCCAAACCTGATAAAAACATCTCAGGTGGGCATGATGTGGAAACGGGAAATGTCAGAATGGTCTCAGTGGGAAATATTTCCACCTGCCAGGATGGAGAACCTCAACTGTCCAGTGGTTTGACGGAACACGCCAAATCTGATTGTAATGCTACTCACTTGCAAGGGAGTGTTAAGGGCTATCCTGACAACGACTGTAATTTGGAAGCCACAGAGGGACCACTGCCTCAAGTAGGATACCAGTTGCCAGAGAGAAGAGAGGATGGCCATTTCGAAACATCCAATAGTTATTTGGATGCAGATGCGTCTAATCTGGATGTCTATGATGAGGATGCAACCTTGAATCGTGGCCACAATTTATACGCTGCAGATGTGTATGCTTTCTCACACGGTGAGAAGGAGGTGATGGACTTTTGCTCTGCCAATCCAGACTCAACAGACTCGGCATATGAATCGTACTTTACTAGGGGGAACTCCGCTAATTCTCCGGTCAGCAGCAACAATATAGCCTGTGGTAGAGAAATCACAAATTTACAGAAAGTCGGACTGGACAACAGATCTGAGTGTGGCTCATGCAGCACTGAGCTGGAAAAAAGGGATCTCAAGAGCAAAGCAAATAGCACTGGATTTCATTCTGCAGTGCCAGAAAAGTTGGTGCTTGAGAGTAAGAAGGCCATGGAGATAGTCAACTTATCTGTTTCTTGCACAGCCACTTGTCTGCCCTTTTCTTCAGTTCTCAAGGAGACACCTCCACTGACTGTCTTGTCCACCAAGCAGGTCACATCTCCTATCACTCACCAACCAATAGGGTCCTTTGGGGTCATCTCTTGTGAATCTAGTAAAGTGGGAGAAGAAGACAATGAACAAATGCTCAAGTAAGAATTATATAATTATATTACAAACGTATCGATATGCTGAGTGTTTGCACAGTAACAGATCCTAAGGAGGTAAAGATGACACTGAATGTAAACGTATAATATCTTGCCCAAGGAAACCCAAGGGAGCGTTGACAGCTGGCCAAATTTCAGCCTCTTGCTGAACTGAATCAATAACAGGATCCTTCCTTCCTTCCTTCCTTCCTTCCTTCCTTCCTTCCTTCCTTCCTTCCTTCCTTCCTTCCTTCCTTCCTTCCTTTCTTCCTTGTTC